ATATTTAAATGCAATTTTGTATACCACCAAAAACTATATCATCAGCATACATTGTACCATTTTAGCAATCAAATTTGTTTTCATTTAAGGTTTTAGGATTTTTTAAAAAGAACGACAGCAGTGCTCTATTTTAGTCAACAATTGTAAACTGAACATAATTAGGGTGACCATCTGCGTAGTTTTACAACGGACAGTCCTGTATTTTTTCCTTTATTCCTTTGTGTCCTGTTTTTTTGGGGGAAATTTATCAAATGTCCTGTATTTTCATCAAAATTAGATGGTCACCCTTAACATAATTGGCATTTTTTTGTCATCCTGTTTTACATTTCAATGACTCTCCTCATGCGTGATTGCTTATTGCATCATTTGTGTCGAATTTGTGCAATTGACGTGAAGGATTGTAATGTTTCTGTCACAAAAAAAATATTAACAAATTTTTTCTCGAATTTCCTCTTTTATGATTGTTCAACGCCAAATGACGCTTAATTTATGCAGCACAAATTCTCTTTATTTTCAGAAATGATTTATGCATTCATAAAAATTATTTTCCTTCATTTCAAAACTTTTTTTCCTCATTCAAAACTTTTATTTTTCATTGAGAGAAAGTGGAAAGGCTGACGTGAAAGTTAATTTAGAGTGAAAAATTTTATTTATTCATATTGAGCGTATAGCATGAAGACAGAAAAGAGCGAAAATGATGAGCCATAAAAATAATGTTAATATTTTGTTGTGAGTTTTTCTCGCACTTCAAATGAGCTAAAAGGCACAAGAAAGTTGCAGGTTACAATGATTCATGGTTTTTAATGAAGTTGGTGGATTTTTGGAAATCAGATTTAGATAATCAACTAAGTTGGATCATATGCTTTATTGAAAAATTCATCAGGTCAGATTAGGTGAACCTTTTGTCCTTACATCCATCCTCATGTTTCTCAGTTTTCATCATAAACTAGAATATACAACTCCATATACTATAACCAGCGTCAAATCCACAAGACTACCCAAAAATCCATCAAACAAAAAAGTGTAATAATTTACGACTTGGTCATTTTATTTACAGCCACTGCGACGTGAGCTTTATATCACGTTCTCCCATCACACCGAGCAATTGAAATTTAATTTCTTATCAAGAATATTTTTTTCATGTTTATTCACAACATAAATTATGTTTATTTATGCATTGCATAACTTCATCACTTACATTATTAAAATGTTGAGTGTGCGAACGGTGCCAGGAAGAATAAGGAACGAGCACAGAACAAGAATTAAATTATGCTGATGATGATGAAAATTTTCTTCATAATCCACTTTGATAAATGTCTGTTACTGTACTGTCCATTGGCCTTTTACATGGTTATATCATCAACAGACAGAACGGCTGCACTCAAGATTTATTTTTTTTTTTTCATTTGTGAAGAAAAATCATACTAGTCTATCTTTCTAATCTAGATACGTAGTCATAGATTAGATTAGACTGTATGTTTTTATTGACCAAATCTGGTTGAATTAGCTAACAAAAAATTATTAAATTTAACATATCAAATATAATGGATTGTAGCACAAATTGATAGAATAAAAGAGTAACGGATAAAAAATATTTGAAATAAGTGCTTGTTCTAAAATGTACTAAAAATATGTGTGAAGAACAAAGAAGTTGAATAATTAAGTTGTGATGAAGCAAAAGGCTGAGACAATCAAGGGTGCAAGTGACATCTGTTGATCCACGATAAACATAAATTAAGCATTCAGATAAGTATAAATTGACGTAGAAGAAAAATAATTTTTCAATATATCTCTTTTAGAGCTGATTTCTTTTTGTAAGCTTTTTATCTCTTTGTTTCAGTGTCTGCAGAATGATTTAAATGCAGGTTTATGGACATCAGGAGTGCAAAGATATAGTCAGCATAATACGAGCATCATAAAATTTTGTTTTTATCAGCCATTTGTCGTGGTGAAATTAATGTTTCCGTTTTTGCTAGAAGGAAGTGCTTTATTTCAACTTTAAAGATGTCCAAGTTGTTAATAGCCTTCAGTTTCAACGGTAAGCTATTGTATATTGATGATCCTAGTGCTGTTATATCATTTTTCATAAATTTTGTTGCGTAATTTGCTATTTTTATATTTTTTAGGCGATTGGATGATAACATTTCAAATTTTACCAACGTATTATCACGCGCTAGCAATGATTTTTTCACAGCAGTCAGGCACGAATAGAATAGAAGTCCCATGATTGGTAGAACCCTTGGTGCGACTTGTTTGAAAAGAGTTGATGTTGAAAAGTCTAAAGGCAGACCAAAGATTAGTTTGAGACAGCGATTCTGGAGGACTTGTAGGCTTTTTATTGTCTGAGCTGTAGATCTCAAAAGAAGGAATGCACAATATGATAAGTGCGATTGAAAATTAGCGTGAAAGAAGTTTAACTGGAGGTCCTTTGTCAGTCTATTGCGTAGAACAGAAACTGCCCCAACTGTTTGTGACAGTTTACTTCTGATTTGATTGCTGTACTTGTCAAAGCTTAGCATTGGGTCGATTGGAACTCCTAGGTAAGTAAGACTCTCAACTCTTGAGATGGTTTTTGAATCAAGAAGGTCTAAGATGCTTTGATCTGTCTGTCCAGTGCCCACAATTAAATATTTTGACTTTGATAGATTTAGTTTGAGTCGGTTGGATTTGTAATAACCACCAATTTGATCCAAATCGGAATTAATATTCCTTTTGATTTGATTTATATCAGGACCTATGTCCCAAATTAGTATTGAATCATCTGCGAAGCGATAATTAAGACACGATAAGTCTAAGTCTTTGATATCATTTATGTATAAATTGAACAATGTTGGACCGTTGCAAGAACCTTGAGTAATTCCCCCAGAAACTTTCCCTTCTTGACTTTGCCATTCATTTATTTTAACAACTTGAGTACGATCTGATAAGTAGCTCCTAATAAGTTCTAAGGCTTTGAATGAGAATCCTAATTTGGCAAGTTTAGTCAGGAGAATTTGATGATCTATTGAATCGAAGGCTTTTGAAAGATCCAAAGATAATAACAAAACGTTTGATTTTCTATCCAGTATTTTGGACACTTCATGTATGACTTTTGCAATTGTTTCTTGACATCCTTTGTTCTTTTTAAATCCATATTGAAAAGCATCCCAGTAATTGTTAGTGTTCATGTAGTAATCAATTTGTTGTGTCATTTCAGATTCAAAAATTTTGCTGAGAGATATTGGGACAGAGATTGGCCTATAATTTTCAACCTTGACGCTTGATCCATTTTTATGAATGGGATGAACAATTGACTTTTTGAGTGACTTTGGATATACTGATTCATTGACCATGTCAACGAATAATTCATGAACTTTGTCTGCCATTAACTCGTTTAGATTATTCCAAATGAAGGGCGATACATTGTCATAACCGGATGCTTTGCTGATGTTAAGTTGTTTGAGCCAATTTTGGAATGTAATTACACTAGCAGTGTCGAATTTAAAGACGGTAGAAACTTCTGATGGAGGATACAATGGCTGAATGTCTGTAGCATTGATATTAACTATTGATAAGAAGTATTGTTGAAATTCTATTGCAATTTCTAGATCATTAGTAATTCGCTTGTTAGGTGTCTCCAGAACAATTTTGCAGCTCTTTTGTTCACATCCAGTATTTTCATTTATAATTTTCCATCCAGATTTAATGTCAAGAACTGAAATGTCGCAGTAGAAAGCTTTCGTGCGAGCGGTAGCATATTCATTTTTAATTTTAATTAACTCGTTCTTCTTAGTTTCTAGGATATCAACTGGACGTTTGTTAGAATTTAATTTGTGAATTTTTTCATTAAGATTGTGAACTGATCTACACATTGAAGCATAAGTTTTATTGGTCCACGGAGGAAGTGATTCATTAATGTTGCGAGTTTTGATGTGGAATATGCTAGAATTGTCTTCGTGAGCCGCCCAAACTAGTTGAAGTAGTTGATTGGTTTTAGATTCAACATTATTATCGTGGTAGGTAAATCTGTTTAATTCGTTGCTAATTGATTTAATGACTCGTGCCTTATTTGTTCTTTTAATAGAGATTCTTGAGAGTTTGGATTTTTGGGAGGTCATCCCTGGAGAGATTAATAGGAGGAGATTATGATCTGAGCATCCATCGAGCATAATATTGTTAGATGTAAAGACATTTAGCGTGTTCTGAGAGGAAGCTACGACATGATCAATTATTGAGTGGTTTTTCGTTATGTTGTTGAATCTGGTGATGGCATTATTTTTGACATACCTCCCATACGAATTAATTAGTTCTATGTATTTTAGTGATGCTGAGGACCTTGATTGAGTGAAGGGACTTGGATGTACGTTAATGTTAATGTCGCCTAAGATGATCAGTTGTTGAGATGATACAGCTAATTGTGCTTCTAACATTGAGATGAAAACGTCTATGTTACCATTTGGAGGACGATAGATAAGGAGTAATTCTTTGGTCTCAGTACCATTTATAGTGAGTTCTAATAGCATTAATTCATAATTATTCGTTATTTCTGTATCTTTGATAATTGATGAGTGCAAATTATGGACATATGCGGCGATTCCACCTCCCTTCCGCTCAGCTCTTAGTGAGGTATAAAGTTTGTAGTTATTTATGTTAAAACAATTAAATTTTGTGGATTTCTTGCCATACTCGGTCAACACAATTAGGTCTATTTGTTTATTGTGATCTATATTATTCGCGTTGCTTCTCACCTCAGACAGAGTTAAGTCAGAGAGAATTGATTTAAGTTTGTTGTATTTGACATCAGTGATAGTATTTATATTCCATAGAATAGCTGAGAAAGATGAAGTGTTTTTAGCGTGGACACTGTATAGATTTGATTTTAATTCTCTTTTTAATTCATTTAGACTTAAGTTTCCACTTTGATTACTTTTGTTTATTTCCTTTTTTTTATCAATTGTAGTACTATCATTGAGTTTAAAATTGTTGACTTTGCTATGAACATGAGATGAGAATGGATATTGTCAGTAATTGACATGAGATTCGATTTGCATTTGATTATCATTATCTTCAGGTTCATCCTGCTGAGAATTCATACGAACTTCTTTTCTTTGCTCTATTGACAGATTAAAGTATTCTGAGTTGTACACTTGGGTTGCTGGCAGTTGACAGTTAAAATCCCCGATCGATTTGCGTAATTCATCTAAAGCAGACATGCTATTGATTTTAGCGGTGATAACTTTTAAAGAATCGGTATCAACGACGGTTTCATTTGGATCTTCTGGCGCTGAATCCGTCTCATATTGGATCTTAATGCCTTCATTGGTTACAAAAGCGCTTTTGAGCAAGCCGTTTCCCTTGATGTCAAAGCATATTCGCAGGATCCTCCATACATTTTCTGACCAGCTAACTGTTGTAAAGTAGCGAATTATTTCTGACTGACCTTTTTCTTCTAGGGCTTTATTAAAGTTTGCTATGTCGATTTTTACTCGCCTAGCTATTGTGGAGTTAACAAAGTTACAGCAGAGAGCAATTTCTGGAATAGAGCTGCCACCAAATTTCCTATCGTGGAAAAATGCAGATTCCAGAGGAAGTATTCCCAAATTGAATTTAATTCCCATTTTATCGAGAATTTTTTTTATTTCAGCTGGATAATTTCCTTTTCCTCGAATTTCTTGTGCTTCTCCTCTGAATTTAAATCTAATCCATAATTTTTTTAAATCAGCACGTGACGAGTCTATGATCTGAAGAGTCTCTATTTCCTCTTGATGACTAGATTTAACTTGATCGATTTCACATCTCAAAGCATTGATTTCCGAAATTACGAAGTCTGTATGCTTGCTTTGACTTGTCGAGGACTGAAGAACAAAAAGATTGTGGCGATCATTCATGGCTTGAATTAGTTCGTTTGTCTTTTTAAAAATCGATGGCAAATCAAATGGATCCGAGCTGGTAAGTTCCTGATATTCCTTCGTTAATAAGGCAATTTCATTGCTTTTCTCTTTTAGATTCTTCGAGTTTTCATCGGATTGCGATTGAGATTGTTGAGGGTCGGTTGGAGATGATGGAATTTGACGAGTTTCGTGATATCGAGCTGTGGATTTACGATTATTATCTTTTAGGAATTTTCGAATGTCGTTAGCTTGTGGTCCAGAAGTGGGTTTTTTACCCTTGTGACGAATGATATTCTTGTATCTTGTCTTTGGAGTGCTAAGATTGGCATAGGCATTTTCAATTTCATCAGGAACTTGACTGTTTATTTGTTGAAATTTTTTATTGTTTGATACTTTAGATGAATGCATTTCAGGTAGAGATAAATTGAATGTGCGTAAATAGGTAGATAGTGCGTGAATCCTTTTTGACAGCTAAGTCAAAATTATAAATGTGACAATCAAGTCACTTTTCTTAGACAGCTGACAATTAAGTCAGCCTTTTCTTGGACAGCTGACAATTAAGTCAACCTTTTCTAAACCTTGACAATTAAGTCAAGAATGTGGATGAATGTGATAACTAAATCACTTATACAAGTTACGTTGAAAATTAATTCAATGTTGATGTCACTCTCACTTCAGTTTAACCAAGCATGTGCCTTTTTGGGATCCTTATTGTATTTTTTGCGAATTTCTTAATTAATACGACGATTTATGGTAATACTTTTTATTGATGTATGTGGATCCAAGTACAGATAACTTATTCCTTTATATTGGATGCATGGAAGAACTCGGTTTGTCTTATTAAAGTAATTAAATTGTAGATTCTATTTTTTTATTTTTTTTTTTCCTTCTTTGTGTTTGATATTTTATTCTTTAATTAATTCACAAAGCATTAATTAAACAATTCTCGACACTTTTCATTAAGACTACACTTTGACGGACAAGATGAACTACAATAATATATTTAATTACTACTTGAATCTTTATTAATTTTGATTTTATATCTTCTGTTGTTGTTTCCAATAAAATTTCGAAATATCCCGAGCTGTTTATGATGCTCTTTCCAGAAAAATTATTGTTAAGTCATAAATTTGTCAAATCAGATCAGAAGAAAACTTAAAAAGGAGCTTAGTTGCGACTTTATTAATATCAGTAATAAGTAATGAAGTCCAAAGATGTAAGATCCTTCAAATAATTTAGAAAGATAACAAATCTTGTGCATCCCGGTCAATAACTTTAATTTTTCTCTCGCAAAACTACAGCGAGTGCATCTAAAAAGTTAATTTTTAATTTTTTTATATCACACTCGTGCCTGTGACATGATAATGTCTGTTAATAAATCATTCTCAGCTTACAGAACTGACGAGCTGAAACAACATCGCATGCATTACGATGAAATGAGTACGAAGCATGAAAATGATTTTTGATGAATTGTGCTTGAGCTAATTTTCATCGTGGAACATGAAAAAATTATTATGAAAAGTGGCGCATTGTTAATCTTTATATGAGCACATGCATGGCATGTTGTAATGCAAGAATTTTATTCTCTCCTTGAATGAAGAAATTATTTCAAACTTTACTCCTTTGTGGACAACTTTTTCTAATTTTTATGAACGCAACTTAATGATGAAAAATCTACCTCTATAATCTTAAGTATGGATGAGCCCTTTTAACCTTTTATTTTTGAAGAGGTTATTAAAACAAAATTTTGGTCCCAACCATCGAAAAAAAATCTGGCTAGATCCCTGCAAAAAATTCTGTTGAAATTCTCCGTAAGAGCTTTTTTCTTTCATCTCGAAATTGCTTTTTGGTTCATAAAAATTGCTGACATTTTTAAGAATTGCATGCGATTTTATGCTGTTTTGTTTGCTTATCAACTTCAGGCAATAAATTCACATAAACACTCTGGTTGTATATTGAGTTTCCTCTCAGACTTTTTTAAAGCCTTTGATGTGTGCAAGAACTGCAAGGTAAAAGATTCAAATTAAAGTTGAGCAGTGATGCTGCAACTTGAATTTAATTTAGAGTTAAATCCTGATATATTTTTGAGGACTCAACTAAATGTCTTGAAAATTACAGGTTTTTTAATATAATTTAATGAGTAATTCGTTTTACATCATCTTAACATGCTCGACACATCCAGCACCAATTACCAACACTGATTGTGAACGTTAAAAACTATTTCGAGTTAATTGAGACAAAGTTTTCGCAGTGTTCTGACTTCTTTTGTTCTTTTCCACATCGTTTATTTAAAAACTCTTTGATCTTCGTCGTATGATTCAAAAAGCACGTGAGACTCAACATTTTGTATTTAATTAAGTTTGTTGTATATTTTCTGCATTTTAGTTCAAAAGGATTAACTGTGCAGTACAAAGCGTTCATACGGAAATTCTTTCACTATTGTAACTTAATAAGTGAGTGTTTTACAAACAAAAAAACAACGATTTTGGTATGAATTAAATCTTTTTTGTTGTTCTTATGCAATGTTTTTTCCTTAAAAAAGCTTACAGAAATGAAGCTTCACAATGGAAAATGTTAAAAGAGCTTTAAAATTAAATAAGCTGTAGAAACCCCAGAAAACCTATAAATTATAAAATAAAACAAAATCATAATTATACGAAAATCAAAACAAGGAAAGGAAACAAAAGAAGATTAGTAATTTATCCATTTCTTTTGCAGCCTATAATGCTGGTCATTATAGTTATAGCATTTCCTTTAATAAAGTACATTTTACATGTTTTGTAGAGTATTTTGTTAAGATACAAGGCTCGTTCGAAGCGAAATTATTAATTTCAGATAAAGACATTCATATCTACATGTGCAAGATACACCTTAAAATATGTGCTGATTTTCGTTCAAATAATAAATGATTTTTGAGGCCTTGTTGGTCTTTTGTCAATAAATTGAATTTTTGAATACAAATTCAAAATCACTGGCTTCGTAGTTAAATGATAAAGAAATAGCATCAGGTGCACATGATTTAAAATTCAATGGAATAGTGTTACAATTGAATATAACAGCAGTAACAGTAACGGCACTAGTGGCACTAACATGAGTGGTTTGAAAATAATAATGTAATATCAAGTTAATGATAAATTATCGCTGAACATTCAATAAAAGTGAATTGCAATTCAATCGATTGAAAGAACATTTCCTAAACAACTCTTTTTAACTGGTCCTAACAACGTGACATTTTTGAAAGCGAAAGTTGTATGTGATAGTGAGAGTACGTTGGTTGGTTGAAATGCTGAAGTGAATCAAAAGAGGCTGATGATGAAATTTGATGACAAAAAAAACAATCCAGTCTTTAAATGTCTAAAGATTCACTCAGTGTTATGTCCTTTTGAGTTAATCATTGCGTATGGTCAAATCCATTAAAAGTCAGTCTATAAAAAAAGATACATTCTCTTTGGAAGTAAAAATGTTAACTTCATGATCGACTTTTATGTCTTTTTAATTGTGTCACGATAAAAAAAAGTGTTGGAAGGACTCATGTTTGCTTTCATTATCACAATACCCTCGAGAAAAACACAGAGAGTTTCATGTAAATCCTTTTTTTTTCATTATGTAGGAACACAATCCTTTAGTGAAATTTTTCTGAGTTATTTTATGCTTTATTTTGTGATGTGTTTAAAATTTTTATCGAATTTTAAAAAAGTTTAAGCTTTTTGAATGATTTTTTTAGAACAGGATCTAATCATGTACCCATGGTAAGGAATAGTAAAACACCTCCTCTTTTCATTTGATGGAGACTTAAATTTACCGAAAATCTAAATCACAACTCTGAGTCATGGTTAAAAAATAATGAAAAATATATATTACGACGACGCATCATAATTATTTTTATCAGTATTAATTATCTCAACATACCCCTAAAATTTATTCGAAGGGATCTGAATCTTCATGACAAAAAAAAAGTCTCACCAAAAGCTGTAACATATAAAAATAAATGTGAATACATGATGCTCACATTTTTATGTATATAAAATGAAAGCAGGCATGGCCAACCACTAAAAAAGTCATGCTCCATTCAACAAGAACAATAAAAAATGAAGAATTGCACACGAACGGATTCAAAATGACACTTTTGGGAGAAACAGAGTGAGAGAGAGATCATAAAGGAAGAACAGCAGAAACTTTTTTCTTTTGCTTTTTTTTTGTGTGTGGGTGGAAGGAAGACTAAAACTTTTTTTTTCATAAAAGCACACAAATTTTTGTTCTACGTGCTTAATTTAATTTTATAGTTTTTAACGTGCAATAATACAAAATGGAGGAGGTGGAGGTTGGAAACTTTAATACACACTTAATTGCATTGACATATAAAGTGAAAGTTAGTAAAACGATGCCAGAATTTCTATACAATTTTTACTGCTTGAACAATGTTGCTTGCTCATCAAGTGAACTTGGATTAGCGTACTTAGATGTAGCAATTTTTGTGATGGACAGTTTTTTTCTGATTTGAATTCAAACATGGGTTGGTTCCTAAAATTAACTGGGTACAATGCTTTAATCAATCTGAAATTTTATAAAAATTAAAAAGTTTCGTGCATTGATAATTGAATTAAATTGATAATTGGTATAGAATTAATTAAGATCTATCCTAAATCAAAATTAACCTAGTTTGAAGCAGCCAAGAAGACGTTGTTCGGTGCTTAAAGAACAACCTTGTAGTGCATGCAGTCAACTTATGTCTTCTGTAATATATATTTTGTGTTAAACAACCTCAACCAAAATTCCAGACCAATTTTTCAATCGAAACTCTCCAGATTTATTTTTTTCCATCTCTTATTCTCTTGTTTTATTTCGCATTATTCTTTTTTTTTTTGAACGAAAATTTTCACTTCATTTTTATTTGAGATAATTGTACGTCGACAACTTTTAGTGCAGCTGCAAATTCTTTTTTTATATTTTTTATTCTCTCTCGACCGTAAAATTTACACAACTCTTTCTTCACCCTCCATTGTTAAATTTACAATATAGTTTTGATGATGGAGCGAAATAAAATTGTAAATTGTCTTGTTCGTAAAGTTTTGTGGACTTTTTTTTTTATGGAAAAGTAAGTTTGGACTTTTCTGTAAAGGTGGTTTAGTGTTGGTTGTATGATTTATTATGTAATGATCAAGTTAATAAAATGTTAAATTTGTACCAGTCATTTTTCAGAAAATGAGAATATTTCAAGAATATTTGCCAAAACCAAGAAAAAGCATGGTCACTAATCGAAAGCGCCATTCACAAAATAGTCCATAAAAATTCAAACAACACTTCATACCAGAAGCTTTAATTAGTTCTATTCGTATTTAAAATTGAAATTAGCTCGAAGATATTTTGTGTCACTTCAATAACTAAATTCAACACATGTGTATCCCTACACATATGCTTTTAAGCTCTGCATGCTCTGCAAATTAAATAAAAATGTTTTCTTTTCCTTATTTAATTCCATTTTGAATGAAGTGAGAATTAAATGTGAAAGAATGAAATTTTCTATTTGTGTTAATTTAATTTTAGAGCTTGCAAGGACGTAACATAAATTTAATTAATTAGCAAGACACTTCCGGGAAGAAGTTTCTGAAGCTATTCAAGAAAATATAAACTTTTGTTATTTTCGAAGAATTGTTTTAAGATTCAGAAAGGAATGAGCTTTTATAAACAGAGCTATTGTCTGGTCAAAATTGTAGCCAAACTGAAATATAACTTGTCGTGCCCAAAAAAAAAATATCTATAGACTGTTAAAAAATAACAACTTGCTGTTTCAGTCAAGGGTGCGGTACTGTTAAATTACATTTTGATCATTGGTGATCATTTTTGATCAATTTCGATCATTCTTGGTCATTTTGATCATTTTTGATCATTTCATAAGTTCAGCACCCTTGGTTTTAGTGCAATAGCTCGTATCATTCAATAGCTTAAGTTTCTCGAGACATCAGATTTAGCTCAGAGTTAAAACACGAACTCAAGTTGACTTCAAAAACTCCAAAAGCAACTTTAGACAAACAAAGAAGAAAAGCCGTAAGCGGAACTAACAAGAAGAAAATTATTTTGATGTGAAATGATTCGTGAGAAATATTAGGACAAAAGCTAAGAAGAGAAATTGGCAAACATTAATCAAATTGCCTTTAAAAATGAAAGTGAATTGAAGCAAAATTAAGGAAATGAAAAACTTTTCCAATTCACTAAACTACTTTTATTCTTTTATTGATGGCGAGCGCTCAAAAAAAAAGAATGACATGAAAAGCTTTCGTGACCTTCCGAACTTTATTTTCTTCTTAATCATCCACTCACTCATTTATGTGCACACTTGACGTGATTCAATCATAATTTTCAGGAGAAATGTTCATTTTGTGAGTTTATGGAAGTTGGCACGGTGGATTATTAAACTAGGTAAGTTACTCCTTAGGAAAGTCAATATGATATTTCAAATGATTTTGCTTCAATGAGTTGAACCAGGAAATCCCACATTTAAGTAAAAATGAAAATGAGTCAAAGAAATTTCAATATGCATAAATTTTAAAAGTAAGCCTCAGTTCTTTTTAAATCTCTTCTTACACACACAAAATCATAAGCTTGACATAGAATAAATGCCCAATTAACCTAAAATGTTGATTATTTAGGTTAATAGTTTTTAATTAATTTTGTCCTCTCATGAAAGCAAAAAAAGCTCGTAAAGCATAAAAGTGAATTTATTTTTAATGCCATATCATGAATCACTAGCTTGACCAGGCTGGGTTCCCTTTATACATTGAAAATAATTTTTTTATGCCTGTTGACCACAAAATTAATTAACAGAAAAACTTTTTTACTTTCATTTGTGCTCTTCTGACTCAGATAATTGCAATGGATGATATGAAAGTGAGAATAGCTGGCACAATGAAAAGCATTAAAGATATCGATCCGAAAATAATTCGCGAATGGGATGCAGCAATTGCAAAAGAGAATGCAAAGGAGAGGTAAATGAAAAATTATGTTGAAAGTCATAAACAATTTTATTTTGTTTCTTGTCGGCACAGCCAATTTAAATGGGTTTGAATTTATTTTATGCAGTGCGAGTGGGCGCAACGCCAAAGAGCGATGGAAGCTGTTTAAGAATATTTCACGGTTTGGAATTTTACAGCGAAATCCAACGGAAGAGGACAATTTATCTTCGGTAAGTAGCTTTTAATTGATATTTTATGGCAGCAAGTCGCAATAATGAGATGTTTCGGCAATATCAAAAAACCACGAGACAGACAACGATTCTAAGAAGACATAAATTAAGCCTACAAGTAAATAATTAACTTTGTGGGTGGTAAAATTGAATGATGAGGTGATAAAAAGTACTCAAGTAGTGAGTCATAAATTAATTTTAATGTCTTAATTCCACCATTGGAATCAAAAAACAAAATAAATCATAACAGCTCCAAATTTACTTCTTGCTCGCCAATTCTTCTTGATCCATATTGAATAGCTTTAAATTTAAATGTTTTTCATCCACAGCGCAGCTCACTCTATACTCCATTCAAACATACATCAAGCAACTTTTATGGATCTCGTTTATAGTCTGACTTACCACTTCCAATTGATGAATGTAACGATAATGATTTCGATTTTCCAATGCTACGCAAGAAGCATCATAATGACAACGAGAAAGCATTTCGTGTGACATCGTTGCAATTGAATGTCACACCAAAGAACAAGCAGCCACTAGCACGTCACATCTCATCACCAACACGATTCAATTATAGCACAAAGTTGAAGGACAATAATCGCACATCAGATGGATCGTCATTCAGCAGTAAAATGAGCATAAGAGGATTCATACGACGAATGTCCGAACGACGTCAACGACCTACTGCAGAATCTGATTTTATGCGTGACAGGAGGAAAACTGCAGTAAATAAAACAATGTCAATCCGGTGAGTTGAATTTTGATTCCTTAAATTACTGAACTGACATACCTTGAATGACATTGAATGCCTTAATAATAACTTCCGATTATACTCTGTGGTTGATTTGAACAAAAATGAAATTAAATGGAAAAAATATCGACAGAAGTATCAACGAGGAGGAAGTCAAAAAAAAAACACTTTCGAGGAAGGTGATGAAAATGTGGATCGAGTCGTGTCGTACATCTCAAAATGTTGTGGAGAAATTGAAGACAATACAAGCATAAGTAAGGTAATTCTTTCATTTTTGAATGGATTTGATTGCGACTTTGTACATATAATTATTTTGTCGTCTGTTCTTAAAAATGAAAGTTTGAACTGATAAACAAAAGAAAATAACTTGGAAATAACAGAGTCTACGTACAATATAAGTTTTGTCAGTCATTAAGATATATACAGCATAATTTCTATTAACCAATTCTTGAATTGTTTCCTGTAGTAGACGTCTTGTTATGCTTCTCATGAATTTGAACATTTTGCTTTTAAAACATGGTTGAAAAATTGCGTTGGTATTTTTATTTTGTATTCATATATAACATCCTGAATATCTCTAAAAAAATTTTAATAAAGAATATTACAAATACAGTAAGCAATATCCAGGTGAGAGTATCAAGAAATGAAAGGGTAATTCAAGTTGTTTAAAAACTATTGCATGATCAAATGTCAATGAACTGATTTAAGTCATTTGTGCCCATAATTGTCTCGTAAACTTGTTCAAGAAAAAAGTCAAAATTTCCATCCAAACTTTTTAACGTTAAATTTCCTTTTATTTTATTCACTAAAGTATTGTTTGCACTTCTTGAGACTATTTCCAACAATATACACTATTATAATGTCTTGAAATACAAAAATAATTTTGACGAAACGAGACTGATTTATTGTGATAGATAGTAATAAAAAAAAAATAATCTCATTACTTGTATCTCAAACTTTATTAATTATTTACATCATTAATATTTATTTTTTTTTTTGAACAAGATTAAACAACTGAACTTTTCAATGTTCATGATAGTTTGGAAAATTTTCTGGTACTTCAATATGAGAACTTAAATTTAAGTAGATTATTAATAACTCAACTACACTTTGTAGATCCTGTACTTTTTCTCCAAAAATTCTTTGTTCAATTTTTCAATTTAAACATTTTTCATCAGCTTTAAAATGTTATAATTTGGCAAATTCCTTTAACAGTTAACAGGTTAACAGAAATTTATTTATTTTGCTAGGGAGTTTATGAAAAAAGTCTTTAAAAATAAAACACATGATTTAGGTCAGTCATAGTTCATTTAATGATGACCGTTACTAAAGTTTTTTTCCTTTTAAGAATTTCATATTTATCACCTACATGTAAATGTATATTGAAGTTAAAAATGCTCAGTGCAATAATTAATCTCTCTAATCTAGGAAAATATTCAGCGTTCAATGCCCCAAAAGTAGGAATTATTAATATCAAATCGATAGTTTCTTTTAGTTATAAGTTCTTTAACGATATCAACATATCATTGTAACTTAATTTAATTATATGCATAAAATATGAAAAGGCTAAGTAAGGTTTTTATGCCATCTGAAATAGTTTAAATACTTTTCACATGGCTTTTCCTTGCGAGTAATAAATAAATAATAAATAATAATAAAAAAAAAAAAAAAAAAAAAATAGTTTCAAGGCTGTGCTTTAATTCGTCTTCATTTTAGCCGTAAATAATGTCTTGAAACTTTGGGGATCACTGCTAATTAAACACAGGTTATAGATTTTTACAAATTTTATACAAGGATAGTGAAATTTTTACCAAGAAGATTAAAATCATAAATCAATAAATATTTTATTTAACATATAACTTTTCAAAATAAATCTATTCAATCATTTATCAAGATATCTAAACGGCTGGAATCAGTCGATTCATCACTGTTGCTTGAATTCATTTTTCGTCCCAAACTTTTGACTTTAAAGTGATTTAGTGTTTGTGGCTTCAGTTGCATATTATTGATAGATCCAATTTGTATTGCAGGCCAAATTTTTACATTACTGATAAGTCTTGGAAATAATTGGTTTCTCCATTTTATTTGAAGTTTAAGAGATAAAATCTCAAAGATGAAACTTGCTAATGATAAACAGCAAAATCCAATCCAAATATTAAATCCAAATAATAGATCCTCCAAACTAAGAACTTTTGGAAGAACATTTGATTTTTTTATCCTTATATTTTCTGTTGCGATATGTTCAATCAAGTACTTCATAATGCCTGTGTCAATGAGACGATTTGTTGTCTGCTCAATCATCCTAAAGTAAAACGCAGATTGAAACATGGCAAAAGAACCGAATCCAACAAAAATTTTGAAATTCTCTAATTTATTCCAATCATCATGTCGTTTGAAGTGAAGCATAATACTTGATTGGATATAGTCCGGAATATGTAAAGCTCTTTTAATAGAATAATTTTTTGACATATTCAAATATGATTCATAAAGTTCGGTTAATGTGAAATTCTTGAATTTAGGCCTAAAAACAGGTTTGAAAAATGTCAAAAAAATTTAAACACAAAATTTTAGGTATTTTACCAATTTTCGGTTTCTGTTTTAGAAACTTTAACAAAAAAACTAGAATCATTTGTGTAAATCGTATAATTTTTGTCAACAAGATCTTGAATAGTTTTTGGTGGTGGTCGTCTTGGTGTGCTTGTCAAAAATTCGAACATTTTACTTTGAAAACAAGTACGGAAAATTAAGCAAAAATAAATAAAAAGAATCAAAATTTGTCGTGAGAAGTTTCCACCTGGCATTCGAGTCTGTGAGATTCCAAAGAATATGCTGACTAGATTGATTAATGGCGTTTTTATTTTGAATCCATAGATGACGTCCTGTATTCTTCTTGAAAGTTTATTAATCAAAAGGATTGACAAAAATGCAACTGAAAATGTCACTGATAATAAGATCCAAGTTAGAGTGTCAAAAGGAAGAAGCAATTTCTCATAAGGTGTATAGGTTTCACCAGGTGTTACTAACAGATAATCACTAAATTGCCAAAATGGATTAGTTGACCGGATTCCGACAATTAAAACTGAAGTTCTTAATTCAATATGCTGAATAACGACGTTTGGAATTTTAATTTTGTTATTAATTTTCACTAGTTCGGTTTTATTCACATTATAATTAACAAAAAGAATTTTCTTTTCATTCCTTTGGATTGGCTGATATTCATCCTCAAAGTTATGTTTTTTTGATGCAATTTTGAAAATCATTGGAACTATGCCATTAGCTGAGAAGCTCTTATTATCTTTAGAGACCTTTGCGAAACCCCACAAATTTGAATCGTTTGTATTATTTAAAAAAGACAAAGCCAAAACTAATTCACAACCGAAAAAATCTTGAAATTTTTCATAATATTTAAGAGGTTGATTCCATTTTTGCAATTTTTTATTATAACTATTTAAATTTTCTATTACAGGAGAATTACATAAAATTACCGAAAACCATTCAATAGTTTTCAAATAGATATTTCGTTTGTAATTCACTATGAAAAATGTATGTTCTATTCCTATTCTAGAAATTTCTCGAATTTCACCATAATTCAATTCAATTTCATCTAAAACTGAATGTAATGTGCTTTCTATATAAACAAATATTTTAAAAGCCTTATTTTGGTCACGAAAAATTGCAAAGTTATATAAAAAATATTCAAAACTTTCAATTGTGTCTATAAATACTAGTGCTGCACATTTAATAGAAAACTCATATTTATGAGATTTAATGATTTTATAGAATCGAATGTTTATTGGTTCGTCGTAACTTTTAATGCTATTAATCAATGCATCTTCGACCTTTTTATCTAAGTTTTCATTAAAATAAATCAAAAGAATTTCACTTTCTTTTCCAATGAAAAACACTGTAATGATGTCTGTAAAGACATTTTGAAGTGATACTGTGTCCTAAATTGAATGTTCAGCATTTTCAATTAAGTTGGCAGATAAAAAATTATTCCAAATTAAAATTACATTTAAGAACACTAAACAAACTTCCTTAAGCGAACTCATCGTCGTTACTTTCAACAAACAAGTGTTGACAAGACTTGTTACTAAAGCATGATTTGAAAAGTTTGCGTGCTCAAAAATATAACCAGCATTCAAATAACCAAACGTGTTCGTCATGAGTCAATCTACATGCTTATATCTTATTTCTATAATAAGTAACTAATCTAGATAATTAAGCAAATTAAATATGCATTGATTGATCTGGTTTTTACCCTAGACTTGAATGTTTTAGCTTTAAAGTCAAAACTTTATTAAAATTTTTGCTATGGACATTGACTGGATTTTGAAAATCAAGCTTAATAGGAATTTAATAACCAATTTTTAAGTCCAACTTATAATTCAAATTTTTATATTTCATTTGGCTCTTAAATGGACTTTGAAATGACAGAATTTTGAACCATGTCGGTTATAAGTAAGGATAGCTTTGCCGAAGCATTTTCTGACTATTGAGGTATGAATTGTAATGATAGGTCTTTAAAAAATTAATAAAACTAGGAATTTAAATAGAAACATATGGTTTTTAGACAAAAATCAACAGAATCAGCAAAATGCAAATGAAAACTCTGTAAAGGGGTCGTTCACTTATGACGTCCGAAATTAACGGTCGCTTTCATGTCTTGATGTATTTGTAGCAAATGAGTTACAAATCTTGATCGTAACCCATTCGATTGTTTCTTGGTCTTGTACTAAAAGTTATAACTATTTTTTCAATCAAGCAAAATACAGAATGTAAGGATGAATCACTTTTTGTTTTCAAAAATTTCCAAAAAGCAAAAAATTCTGAATTTTAAGAAGCACATTCTAGTTTTAAGTTTGATAGCAAGTGCCTCTTAAAAACCATTAAAAAATATGGGTTAAAGGAAGTCCTAAAATGGTAACTTGTGATATCATTAATTATTATTATTAAGTTTCCACTCTCAACTTGTCTTCCTTTTTCTTTCTATCTGTATCCCTCAAAGGTAGTCATGGAAAGGGTTGTAGCTTATGTGGAATTAAAATTATGGTGATATTAATGTTTCATAACTTATAATAATGAAACGAATGGGGCACAGTTTTAAAACTTTAATTTCTACAAGCTGATTTTCTTGAAGACGATTGTGTTTTTTTGTGTACTCAAAGGTTGTTCAGGAGTGGCGTAGCCAAATGAGAACTATTGGTGTACTCATATACGAGAATAAGCCCGCATGATAGGGGTTTATTTAATTATTAAGTTTTAAAAGCTTTTTGGGGCCTATTTGCAACATGTCTAGCCCAATGCACTCCATTGACTCTTATTATTTTTACAACATCAATAAAAGCTATAGGGCTCGTATAGCTGTACCTAATAATTTAACACCCCTGGAAGTTGGAAATTTTATAGTGCATAATGTGATGATTGTGAAACTCGATTCAACTATCCGAAATAATTTTTCTTTAGCCCATCATTTGCTGTAAGTTTTTTAACCATTAAACATTTTAAATTCCACTTTACTCGTCCTAATTCTCTTTCCAACAAAAAAAAAATACACCGAAAAAGGAAGCAAAAACACCAAAAAGGAATTTTTTCCATTATTTCCATTCCAAAAATTCCTATGGTTCAGCATTTCCTATGTTAATGAGATTATAAAGGAATTTCACACTGTTTAAAATTGTAGATATTTAAATTTACGGTACTTTTGAGTCTATCTATATAAATACATGCACAGCAGTTTTTAAAGACACAAACATAAAAGTTTTGTTCCTTTTTTTATAGCGATAGTCATTTATGAATCATAATTTTTATGCTTGAAACTTCTTTCATGTCTCCTAATTTATGGAGTAATTTCTCTTCATTCTTTTCAACAATTTTGGCGTTGAACGAGAGAAAAAAAGTTGAAAATTATGTTGATTGTAGGATGAATAACTTCCATGTGCTTAAAAGATTTTTTCAGGTTTTTAAATTATATTTTGAGCTTCTTTAACATTTTAAATTGACAAGCATGGAAGTCAAAATAAAGAGCAACACAAAAGCACCTTTAAATTTTTATAAAATGTATTTTAATTAGGCAGCAATATGATAAGTAAAACTTTTGTTCGGCTTGTCTTTTAAAAATGCATTAAAAGTCTTCTTTTTCAAATTTACGAGAAAAAATTGTTTTGCTCACTTTAATTACTTTTTAAAACTTGCTAATGATTCGAGTCAGCGACATGGATGAGCTTTATCAAGTAAAAACTTGTGCAGTTCGTGAGTGACTGTCTGATGTATTAAGGCTGGATCTAAATCTCCACATCATTTTAATTACTTTAAACATTAATAATGAACAGTCGTTGACCTTACGTGTTTTTCACACAATAAATAATTTTCAGCACACATTTCTGCTCCCAATGACTTCATTATACTCAACTATATAATTAATTTATTATTATTATTATTCCTTACAATGTTTACAATCACGTGGGACAATAATTTTCGTTGAACAATTCGACTAATATTTGTAAAATAAAAGTTTATAATATTTCATTGTGAAATTACTTTCTTACATTGTTTGTGATAACGAAAAAAAGTTGTTCAATATTTGCTTGCCGTAAAAAATATATGAAATAGTAAAAAAATGTTTACAAGGCCCCTTGGTGACTAATTTCATTCAGAAATAAAAAAAAAATTAAGTTAAAGTTGTGTATTTTTAATTTAAATGATAGGAGAACAGGGATGGCGATTGTTTGTTATTTTTTCATATGAATCAAATAGGAAAGCTCGAGATTTTCTAAGAAAACCGAGAAAACCTTTGAAATCTTTTCATATATCTTTTGACTTTCAAATCTTCTCTGTAGTAATATTACAAATAATTTTTCAGACATCATCATTACTTCAAGCGGCTTCAAGCATCTCAATTTTCGCTCAATGTTATAAAATAACGAATGTATTCATCAACTTTTTTTGACTGCTTGCTATTTGCATGCTAATAAAAAATATTAACCTTGGAAAATGCACAGAAATGGAAACGATTGAAAATTGTAAAAAAATTATCTCAATTTATGCATTTTTGAACAGTCAATGACATGGAAAAATCACATTTAATCGCACCGTTTTCACGTGTGAATCTATTGGTTTTGTTCAGATTGAAAAATCAGTTTTTCGCATTTTGTGAGAAAACAAAGCAAAATTGGTTATAAAAGGGCAAGAAGAAAAGTTTGTGCCTGAAATTTTACATCATTTTCAAAAAACAGATTTCAAATTGGTTGTGGCATTGCTGAGAAAATCGCAAAATACGCTTTCTGTAAGCAAACAAGCAAGCAAGCAAGCAAGCAAGTTAATCAGCAAGAAATCTTAATAACGAGACATCGTAGAGACTTCTAGTTTTTTACATTTGATCCGTGCTGCTCTATAGAAGAGCTGTATTGTTTTTGGGCAAGGTAGGAACAGCCGTTGCTTCAGAAATGGCAAAAAACTTTCCTTTCTTACGACACTCCAGCTTTATATCTTCAAACTTATGCTGAGCGTAGCTCAGCTTACGCGATAGCTTTATAACTTCAAACTTATGCTGAGTGAAGCTCAGCTGCTACTCTAGCTTCATATCTTCAAACTTATGCTGAGCGTAGCTCAGCTTACGCGATAGCTTTATAACTTCAAACTTATGCTGAGCGTAGCTCAGCTGACACTCTAGCTTTATATCTTCAAACTTATGCTGAGCGTAGCTCAGCTTACGCGATAGCTTTATAACTTCAAACTTATGCTGAGCGAAGCTCAACTGCTTCTCTAGCTTCATATCTTCAAACTTATGCTGAGCGTAGCTCAGCTTACGCGATAGCTTTATAACTTCAAACTTATGCTGAGCGTAGCTCAGCTGAAACTCTAGCTTTATATCTTCAAACTTATGCTGAGCGTAGCTCAGCTTACGCGATAGCTTTATAACTTCAAACTTATGCTGAGCGAAGCTCAGCTGCCTCTCTAGCTTCATATCTTCAAACTTATGCTGAGCGTAGCTCAGCTTACGCGATAGCTTTATAACTTCAAACTTATGCTGAGCGAAGGGTGTCAAGAAGTATGTAACGTTCTAACTGTCGTCTGTCTTTTAAAAAAAAGTTCACGAAAAAAATTTGTTTCCAAATTCACACCAAAAATATTTTTTTTTAAATTTTCCACCTTTTTAATGATTTATGAATGTCCAGATCACTTTTGATAGCCAATAATAATAATAATATGAATAAAGAAAAACTATGATGAATTATGAATAAAATTTAAATGTTCTTAATAACTACCTATATATAAAAAGTTATCAAAATAAAATAAATTATGAATGTTCAGGGGGGGGGGGGGGGGGGGGTGAGTTGTAACAAGGGGGGAAGGGGGTGAAAAATGTCGTTTTTTTTCGTAACGTAATAAGTGAACGGCCCCTTATTAAAAATTGGTAGGTTACAAATCACACAATCTTAGTTTTATGGATTTAAAAACGAAAAAGCATCAGGACAGGCAAATCAACCATAATTCTTTTGCCACCCTTTTTCTATATTAGTACATCTCTGAATAAAAACAATAAAGCTACTAAAAACTGCATTAATTCGAAATAAATTATCAATTTTGATTACATTAATATTCTATCTAGCATAAGCTATAAGCTGCTGCGTATAAAAAAAATATTCACCTTCATTATCAAATCTTTAACCACCTTAACTGCCAATTCTTAACATCCATGAATAGATAATGGCTATAAAAATTTGCTTAAAAGCTTTTCGAAATAAAAACTCACATCGAAATCTTCATAAATTCGTAAATGTTCATTGAACAAAAGAGAAAAACCCCACTTATGGATTATGAGAACAAAAAAAAACTTTAAAACTATGAATATAGCACGTCTGCATAGGTTAACGAAATTGCAAATGCTGTAAAAAAATTCATTCAGCTCACACAAAAAAAATAAAAGTTAAAATATTTTTTTTTTGCAAGGATGCCGAGTAAAATTGCAGAGATAACAGGTTCAATTGTGGCACCAACCCTCGCCGAAAGCTCAACAATTTCAATTTTAAATTGATATGGTTATGAAAAAAAAGAAAAAAAAAACGAGGAAAATTACACTTTAAAAGCAAGTTCAATTGAGAGCGAGAAAAGCAACGACGACAATGATGATGACAAAAAACAACGAGTTGTTTAAAGGTGTTGTGACTACAAATATTTGTAAGTAGATTATGAAAATGTGTTTCACTGTTTTTTTTTCTACTCCGTTTCTGTTTCTTTCTCTTTCCCACCTGACTAGACGCTTCATATGTGTGAAGAAAAAAAAGTAATGAAAATTAGTTTGAAATTCTTTATTGAAAAATGCTCCGTGTCGTGGCAGTGGCGCTTTTGTGCTACGTGTTTACTTAAAACACTTCTATTTGTAAGCGAGCTCTGTATTGTATCCATCTTTGTCTCTCTCGTCCTAAAACTTAATTCTTTAAATTACCTTACATTTATGAGAAAGTTTTAAGAGGAATCCCCCACCCCTTTCCCTTCAAACTTCCCGTGGATACATAAAAAAACCTTAAAAAAAATTCTAGCTACGCCCATGAAATCATGTCTCAAATTTTATCCAGATCCAGTATACTAAGGTTAGGTTACCCAAGCCCCAACACCAGGGGCGTAGCCAGGGGGGGGGGGGGGCATAGGGGGCCCGGCCCCCCCTACGAAAATCTGATAATTGTTTTATTAAGTATTTATAGAGAAGAACCAGTTAATGTAGAGGAAGTGATGAAAGAAATGTCAAAATCAGCACGAAAAATTAAATTTAATGCATGAATAATGAATTAAATATTTAAACTTATCAAGAATTAATATAGATTTAAGGATACAAAATAACGGTTTTTAATTTTCGAAAATAGCCCCCCCCCCTTAAAAATTTTCTGGCTACGCCCCTGCCCAACACTCAAAACTAGACTTATAGTTCATAGTAGAAACCGAACTCCAACTCTAATAATTATTGTTACCAATAGCATGTCAAACATCCAATCAGCCGTCCAAAGTGCCACCAGTTCTGAAACAAGCCTTAAATTAAAATAAAAACACTTTAAAACAGAACGAAAAAATTCAAACAATTCCATTGTGTTATCATTAAAGTAACAATAATACACGAAAAAAAAAGTAATGTGTACGAATAGAAAAAAATTTGCAGCAATGAACATTTAAGGTACATTAAACGAAACGTATTATATTGTCGCTCTTTTAAAGTTTTAGTCTATCGCGAGTTTTTCTCCTGATAAGAGCACTTGCAAGTTCTTTCTTTTTTAATTCCATTATTCTTTAAGTTCAGACATTTAGAAGTTAAAAAAAATTGTGATAAAATATTTCGTAAATGGCATGTCTTGTGAAAATTTTTAAGCGTGACACAGGGTCGTATAATCTATTATCATCAGGGATTGAAGGCGACACCCACATAAATGTTGGTTGAGTAAATTAATTTCCTAAAGTTTTGACACATTCTTTAAATTTCCTTTTAAAATTGTTTTTTGTCAACAAAAAAATAGCCCCTAAGCATCCACAAACAACTTGTGTGGTCAACAATCATTTTAAATAGTGGTATTGTCAATGGAAAATATCTGAGTCGACATTCTGTCTGTATCTGATGATTCAAAATATAAACATACTTAATTGGTTGATATTTGCGAGTTTGATGAAGACGGATGAGGGCACTTGAAATATTTGACGTTGCACATACATAATAAGCACGTGAAAAACTTCAAAAAAATTGTTTATTTCGCCCTCATTTTTTTATTGCTTCTGCCAATTATTTTGAAGTGAACTAGACCAAGTTTGTAGTGTAAATAAAAAAACGATGATTCAACCTTTTTTTTGTGATAAGGTTTACAATTCCACGAATTTCTTTTCATTCATAAATGTTTACGAAATATTAATTTGATTAGTAATTACTGTTAATTATTCATTTTTGTAGGAGTTTCAATACTCAAAAATTTAATTCTATTGGATGTATCCATCAGGAGAGCAAACTTTTTTTATTGCATATCCTAATGTCTTAGATGGTAAACTCATCATAACGACCTACTGATTAGAAAATCCACACATTTCTCATAACCTTCATTATCTCCAACTTGAAGGTCATGGACACACTTATTTCCTGCAAATTCTTTAATTGGAATTCAAAGTCACTAAACAACAAAGTTAAAAAGACTGTGACTGTATTATTCAAAAGAATATTTTCAAGTATAACGAGATATGACAGACATTCGTTGTACTTGTAATCAATTGCTTCAAGTGTTTCTTTGCATAATCTAATATTATATTTTCTCTTACTTTGGGGGCTATATCACCTTATCAGTCGTTTCATACACAAACGTAAACCTGTGAAACGAAGAAAGAACAGAATGTAAGAAGTCGTCGGCGGCATGTTTAAATTATTGTAGTACAAATCATTTGCAACAGCCGCCTGATAATTGTATTTGATTAATGTTTTAGTGTCGTGAGCCGATAAAAAAGTTTACTCAGATGCTCTTCTTTTGAGTCACAAGAAAAGTTTTGTTTTTAAGTTATAATGATAAAATTTTATTAGCACGAGGCGCATTTGTGATAAAAGAATTAGAACAAAAATCTCATTTCTTTGAGAAAGAGAGGAAAAAAATAATTTTCTCTTGAAAAACATTCTATTGAATTAAAACTTTGGCATTTTCAATGCTTGGGGAAACAAATAAAGAACTTCCGAGCAGGATTTTTGGAGGAAATGAATTGATTCTTTTATTCATTTTGAGGAGATTTTGGTGAAGGCAAGAAATTAATGCTTCTTGGTTATCTACTTATGAAAAAAATTGGATTTAACATCCTTCCCCTCCGTGCCTTCATTTCAAACTCTTCAAAAATTACCAAGACCAATTTTAAAAATAATAATAGCTTCAAATTTGAAAGATATCACAGTATTTAATTATTTTCTGTGCACAGACTGATTGGCATAAAAAGGCAGGTTTAAAGCTTTAATTATCTGTGAGTCAGATGATAACACTTCCTGTAATTCTTGTCAAGTAGCCATAAATGTTAATATTAAGGAGTAGCCATGTCAGAAATCATACAAATACAAAAGCTCATAAGAACCTGTCAAAAATGCTCAATACCACCAAATTCTTAAACTTCCTAACTTGAACACCACAGAAAAAAGCTGCCGATAAAAAAATATAATAATTTTTATTCCATCTTTTTCCTTATTTCCAAATCTCCGCAGAATTATCGTAAGCGTAATTCAGACAAGAAGAAATTATCAAAAAAACAACATGAGCATGAGCCTCAGCATCAACACTACGAGAATTCGAAAAATGAACGCAGTGAATCAGGCTTTGATTCAATAAATGATGGAATTTTCAACAATAACAGCAACAGTAATCATATTTCATTAAATATTCCACTTCCACCAACACGCGAACCGCCATGCCCGCCAATTGAAACAGATTACACACCACAACAATCTCCAGTGCCATGCCGTAAGCTTCATAAACAGCCCATACCTGATATCAATTTCATCGAATCAACACCATCGCCTATTCCTAAGGGAAATCATTTTGAGAATGATTATGATTATTATGCCAACAATTTTAATATGAAGAATGTGAGCTTAATTGAAAATGATTTTGATGCCAATGAGAATACCGTTGATGTGGATAAAAATAGTGACGGGAAACATCAGGAAAATGAAATTAAAATTGATGAATTAAATGTAAAACTTTCGGATGTGAATGTGCGTAAAGAGGGAATAATATCAGCGAAAATAAAGCACGAGGAGCTGGAGGAATTGGAAATTAAAGTTTATCCAAAAGATAAAATGTGAGCTATATTAAATAGATAATCAGAAGCACGACGACGAGCAATGACACCTTTCCCATGAGACACTGTTCGCTCTTATTTTTGCTAAAAATTTTTCAATGGCAAGAGACTGTTAGGTTGCTTTCAGGAGAGTTTTTTGTGTGATGCTTTAAAGAGTTTAAAGTCAGTTTGAGTAAGAGATATGGTACTATGGCTTTAGAGTCTTTTTAGCAGATAGGCTTAACTACGAATGTTATGGTAATATTAGTTGTAAATTAGCATCAGCACCTGTTGATCAGTATAGAGTTTCCTGTCTAATCGGACTCTGCTTTCTACATTAGTGCTTTATGGGGTCGTTCACTTATGACGTCCATCAAAAAACCTGATTTTTAGACCCATCTCCCACCCTCTGTCACAAAAATTCTATAGAAAAAAATTTCCATTGTTTGAACTGTCACAAAATCCTAGACCCCCCCCCCCCCCCCTAATTGTCGGACGTCATAAGTGAATGTATTCCATAATCAAAATATCGTAGTAAAAATCAAATAGGATTGAATCCATGACATTTCAAATGATTAAACCAGATTATGCTTAGCGTTCTTTGTTATTTTATATTCTTTGATAGCCAAGAATCCATCCTGCTTTTACATCACAAACTCACTGACATATTAATTTAGACTTGATCTTTTTATTTTAAAAATAATAATAGACACAATGAGTCTCACCTGTAAGTCATCTCCTACCTCGTTCCTAGTGCACTTCCCTTGAAAATCCTCTTTTTTTGCTCTACCTTTTGCTTTCATTTTCTTTTCATTTTTTTTTGCATAAAAATTCTGACATTTTCCATTTCATCGCTTTTCGATTACAGAACAGAGAGGATGATAACATCTGCCATAGTCTCAAACGACTTCTTATGTAACATTTTGGATAACGAGTCAATAAAAACTGTCGTCAATGCGATGCTTCTTGAATCGTATGATGAAAATAGCTTCATTATCAATGAAGGTGATTCTGGAAATTTTCTATACGTCTCCGCTGAAGGAATGTTTGACGTGATTAAAGGCGGCAATTCAATGAAGACTTTCGGTCCTGGAGTTGTGTATGTATTTACTTTATCATGTTCATTGACCTTCATTTGAATTAGAAAATTATGTCCTTAAATGTTATTTAAGTGAATCATTTCCTTTAATTTGCTTCAATTCACATTGCTTTTTTCTTTTCCGTTTTTAAGACATTTGATTAATGCTTATCAATTTTTCTTCATCTTCTTATTTCATGCTTTTACTCTTCGATTATTTTCGAATCATTTCACACAAAAAAATTATTTCTTCTGAATTTATTTGCTTTGATGACAAAAGTTTTGGAGAACTTTCAATCTTATACAAGGCGAGACGATTTGCTTCAATTAAAGGTAAGTTTTGACATTTCATAAGAATTCTTTTTGTGCCTTTTGTGCAACTGGATTATTGACCAATAAATAATCTAGAATCAAGCATCTAGTATTGACCTTTTCGACACTATTCACAACTTTATATTAGCTTTTCTTAAAGGAAACATAACAGACAGTTAAATGATGTACAAAAAGAAAATACAGAGGATGTAAATAATTAATTAATTTCCTTACTTTTCATTTTTCTTCTTCTTCTTCGTTGGCATCTCCATTCAACGTTCACCCTACTGACTTCCGTCAATAAAAGCACTTACATTCTGCAAAGTCTTCTCGTTGGAGCGAAAAGTTTTTCAGAAAATTATGATGAGCTGTGGACGACGTGAGCGTGAAGAGAATATTAAATTCTTATCATCTGTTTCCGTCCTTAAAGACTTGCCATTAATTGTCCTTAATAAAATTTCTGATCTCCTTAAACGAGAATATTTTCCTTCGGGCTCAACAATCATACGACAAGGTGATCCGGGCGACAAATTCTACATAATACGAAGTGGCAGTGTGAATGTAATTAAAAGTGAGGAAGAGAAAGGACAGCGACTTGTTGGGATATTAAAACGAGGAGCATATTTTGGTGAGCAGGCATTGATACATCAAGATAAACGTCTCGCCAGTATAATTTCTAATCCACCAGGAACAGACTGCTTGACACTCGATCGAAAGTAATAACAATAAGCAAACGATGGACATAAGAGGCATGCGGAAGGGAAATGGAATTGTTTTTAATTAAATTTACTTCCATTTCTCACCCTTGACTCGATTGTCATCAATCAATTTACAGGAAATAATCCCTTGGGAAGATTCTGGTCAGGATAATCTCTTAATTCACGATGAGCTTAATAGATATATAGTTAGACTTTCTGACAAAAAATTCCCTAGGGTATTATCCCTCGTCCATCACATTTGACCTAATTTTCTATCCCTTTTTATTTACAGTGCATTTGACGCTTATCTCGGTGGTTTGGATAAAATAAGAAATACAAAAATTGTCGATCAAAACATCCCCAAAACCCGTAAAGTATCGTCAAAGAATGAGTACGGAAACATACAACTAAATGAGTTAAAACTTGTTGGAACTTTGGGTGTGGGTGGATTTGGAAGAGTTGAACTTGTTCAATATAAAAATAAGATTACATTTGCCCTCAAAAGCCTCAAAAAAATTGAAATGCTTCAGCAGCAGCAACAGGAACATGCTTATAATGAAAAGGAAATTCTTTTTGAATGCAACAGTCCATTTATTGTAAGGTAATAAAAAAACTTTTTATTATGTACTTTCTTCTGGCTTGAGGATATCGATAAAGTTGGATGGGGGTTGGGTACTGACTTTGAAATGGATGGGATGCAAGTATGAACTCAACGATATTTGTGAACGGATCAAATGTGAACAAGATCAGCGAGGAGCCGAGTGCCTTCTCGGCTCCTCGCTGTCGAGCTCTTAATCACTTTTTTAATCCTTATTAATCTGGTTTGTTGATATTCGGTATTGAACTTCCATGTAAATGTAGATATCTGGTTTAAAACCTAATCACTCGACCTATTTATGACTTGAAACTTAGAATAATTCAAGCATGCCTTATATGCATTAAAGCTTAATTTTTTCATGAAGCCTTAATATTATTGAGCTTTCAACCCCAAGTTTATGCTGAATAGTCAATGAAACAGAACTGAAAGAAATGTTTAGAATGATATTCAGGCAAAACTGCTTACTTTTTATGTATCGAATCGTTATGTGATTTATTGATATCTTTTTCGTATTTCGTAGAAAATGCTATGTCCACAGAAAAAGCTTATTTTTTGCTTATGAAACATCAAAAGTTTTTTTAAATTACTATGCCATAAAGAAGACCAATGAAACTTTGTAAATTAATCAGTTCTAGTCCTGTCATGAATTTTCTATTGACCTCCAAAATGACTTTATTGCTGTGCTACATTGTCGTCTATTTTAGGAAACAAATTGCAATTCGAACAAGCCAATTTAAAGATTTATACACTCAATTTATCAGAATATGTCTAGTCAGAAACCAATTTGTAACAACGATTTTTTTTTCTCTCATTCAGTATTGAAATTCGAACCTTATGCATCATTTTTATCGATACACAAAGATGATAAATGACGAAAATCATTTAAATAATGTCAACATTTAAATATTATGTAATATAAACAGCAAAAAGACATGAACATTTTTTTTTAACGATCGACATAAAAGAATGATGACAGTAAAGACAACAAAAAGGAATCTATAAAATCTGAAATCACAATAACATAATAATGATGAATAATAATTTTTTAATGATTTTCACGCACATATAACTTTTATTAGTAATTAATGGGAGTTTACTTTTGACGAAATTTGATATTTTTAAAGAGATAATAATAGGGGAACTGCGAAAAAGCTTTGCCTTTTTGACGATTGTATGTGAAACTTTTTCGATCTACATTCCTTTAAAAATGCGACTGCAATACTGTTAAACTTTTTAAAAATCCTTATGTGTGGATCAGCCGAAGCTAGAAGCTTTAAGAAGGAGATGATTACTTTTAAGTCAGTCCTAACAGACTAAATCATGTCAGGGACTTTGTTACAAAGATCCAAATTTAAATTTATCGTGTAATTATTTTTAAGAAAAAATACACTTAAAGCACACACACACAGACGCATCAACCCCTCAATCCAAACTCAACTTTTAAATCTCATCTGCATTCAAATATTATTATTTATTGATCTTTCTGAACTTTTTACTTACTGGTGTCTCAAATCAACCCACAATTTTTCATCGTGATAAAATTGGAACATGAATACGAATCTTATGGTTTCAATAAATCAGATTATATAAGACTTATAAGGATAAAAAGTATCTTTACTACTTGATGGAACCATGTTTGGGCGGTGATGTTTGGACAATCCTACAAAAATATAAGTTTTTCGATGAGAAAATATCAAAATTTATGACTGCATGCGTCGTATTGGCATTGGAATATCTTCATTCGAAGCACATCATTTATCGTGATCTGAAGCCAGAGAATTTAATGCTCGACACAAATGGCTATATTAAGTTGGTATGGTTGACGTCTATAACTATTTATCTATTTATGTTTCGATCCATTTTATCCTCACTTTTTTCTGACTTTATTACTCATTCATGCTTTTAATATTTAATCTTATTCATTGGTGTTTGGGTAGATTCTACTAAGATGGATTGTTGTTCAGGTTTTGTGATGATTTTGTTGCTGGTTCAAAAGAAAATGATTCTATCATTACGATTATTATGTACATTTGGCTATCATGGTATGTCTAACAAGTCCATGACAGTGGCGACAGTTTAAATTCGTCAGCATATTGAGCAATGTTTGGAATTGCAAGTACAACTTGGCAGTCGTTTGCTCCTCCCTCATGCTATCATCATATTTTGATACGAAAACTGTATTTGGACCTGGACTTATGATCTGCTCGCGAGGTTTTTAAGTCCAGGTACAATTTGTAATTTGCCTCGATTGACTTTGATTTTTTGGACTTTTTGTTCAAGATTTTTGTATCTAGACTTATCAGGTCTTTCGTACTTACAATAAATATTAGACATCACAAGTTAATGACACCTATCCAAATATTTATTCAAGTCTCCGAATATGAATAAAATTATTCACAAAGCACTCATGACAATCCTCATTAGTAGAACCGACCAAATAAGATTTATTCATATTTAATGGACCACAACAGTAAAAGCATTACCACTAATAATATCATCAAGCAGGCAACAACTTCATCATCATCAACATAACGTAAAATAAAATCTAGACCTCGACATTTATCCTAATTGAATTAGCCACACATCCACATCCACTAAACTCACATCCATATTTTATTTCCAACATAATTCATTAAATGTGATACAAAGAGATGAAATGTTTGTATATGTCTGTATGTGGTGCTGTGTGTGGTATGTAATAATATTTCTGAATCTACATGCTTTCGACATATTTATTTTAATAATTAATTAATTTTTTATTTTTTATTTTATTTCTATATTTACAGGTTGATTTTGGTTTTGCGAAATTTATAAAGCCTGGGTCGAAAACATGGACATTTGCCGGAACACCGGAAGTATGAAATAATAATTTTTTTGTGTTCTTTTTAAATCTATGAGTGAAATAATTTGTGAGAGTAAAACTTTATTCAGTTTGTCTAAAGAATAGTTATGGTTGATTAGTAGCTATAGATTCTAAAGATTCCAAATCGACACATGATGACAATATTCAAGGATGTGCCAATCATGTGCAATCAACTATAAAATAAGTGGCATTGGAGAAGATAATTTTTGTGTCATATTATTATGACGCTTTAAGCTCGTTCACGCCTTCTAGTGACCCACGACTTACAAGTCACAATATCTTACATAATCACAAAAAAGCAAACATTTAAACCAAACGAAACCTTTTCGGTTGAATTTTAATCAGTTTAAGATTTGATTGCGCTCTTGTCTTCAAAAACCACTTCATTAGTTTTTTTCCTAAACAGAACCAAGTACTTGAAATTTAAAGTACATATCATAACATCATGTTTATAAAAACAAAACTTTTTTTTGTGTACTTCCACTTAGTAATTTTTTTCCTTTCCATTATTCTCGTTTCTCATCCAGTATGTAGCACCGGAAATAATTTTAAACAAAGGCCATGATTTGAGTAGCGATTGCTGGAGCTTAGGTAAGTTTTGAATGTAAATAAAACAATATTTTTCTTTTGTGTAGTATGTTTATCGTGCATTTTAAATTAATTATGTTAGAAACTTGTTGTTTTGTTGATGTTTTCTGCATGAATTTTTAACAGATTTTTAGATGAAAATAATATTTTATGCTAAATTTCTCTCTGTGGGTGTTTTGAACTATCATCACGTAAAACTTTATTGTGAGGCAAAGAGAATTTCAGTTTTTTTAAATGAAGTAGGGGCGCTGGTTCTAAGCCATTTAATATCTTACTGCTTTCTTTGTGCTGTATTCCATTTTACTTTTGTTTAATATTCAATCAACTCCAAAATTCCATCATAAAAGCCCAATGATGAAAGCACAGCACTAAAATCCATTATCACGCAACAAAATAAATCCAAAATGTTCTCATACTAACGAAATCATTTATGATATATCCATTTACAGGCATATTAATCCATGAATTATTGATCGGAAAGCCGCCGTTTCGCGCAAAAGAACAAATGCAAACATACAATCTCATATTACGAGGCATAGATTGCATTCAATTACCACAAAAAATTCCGAAAAAAGCTCAAATTTTAATTAAACGCTTGTGTCGTCAAAGCGGATCAGAGCGTTTGGGTGTGCAGAAGAGTGGCATCAAGGATATTAAGACGCAGTCATGGTTTTCAGATTTCACATGGGATCGCTTGGAAGCGAGAAAAATGTCAGCTCCATTGATATTGCCAGTGAAGAATAACGTAGACTTATCAAATTTTGATGAATATTCAAAAGATTTTGACGATCCACAGGATGATTTGAGTGGATGGGATAAAGACTTTTAGTTCATGTGGAATATTAAAATCAAATTTCAGTATTGTCAACAGTCAACAGGCATTAAAATTAATTATTATTAATTAATTAACCTGACACATCCAAAATAATTAAAATATAAAATTATTTTATACAAAATTAAAAATAAATATATAAATAAAAGCCAATGAACAATTTGTTACATTTTAATATTAAATCAAAAGAAAAAACTAATTAAACTTTTATTTTCACACTTTTTTCAGAAAATTGAATATAATTGTGATGCAGAATAATTGTCTACTTAAAATGTAAAACATAAAGGAATGTCGAACAACGTTAAAATGATTAATATTATTTTTTAAAGTTCATAAATAATTGCAATAAACTTAAAGAAATATAAGATAAATCCAAAAAAGCTGACTAAAATTTCAATGCCTAAATCTCAAACTAATCCATGAGATCTGGTGAAATCCAGAAAAACTCATTCATTTTAAATGTATACTTTGTAGTTTAAATAATTAATGAAAAGTTTTACATTTCAAAATGAGAACAATTTTTTAATGGAACTGAATAGTAATCACGGTTATTTGCAGTAACTTGTTGATTTAAAATACTGTTTTATTTTAAAGTGATATTGAAAGATATTGAAATTTATTTTGAATTCATTCAAATTAAGAACATTTTAAAATTATGATTTTAAACAAACTTACTTACAAATTTTTTCAAATTTTTCAAAATAAAATTAATTATCTTTATGTAAGTCACACATGACTGACCAAGGCTCCCAAAGATTATAATCTTTTAAAAACGAAGATTATAATCTTTTTATAGTATTTTTTAAAGATCATAACCTTCGGAAGCCTTGAGACTGACATCATGGGAAAGAGAATAGAAGTAAAATCAAAACTCAATGATTTAACAGAATCTGTACTATTTGAATCGCAGTGCCTCCAGCTTAAAAAACTTAGCAATAATTTCAAGAAAATCAAACTGACTCAAACTTTAATTAATTAAAATCTAAAAACTTTTCATCTCCAGACTGACTTCATATTATATTTTTATATTTTTTTCTTTCAAACCGACAACATTTTAATTCAACTTGTCGTTTTTATCGAAATAAACCTCGTCTGGAAAAATCTTCACAAAACTTTTTAATTTTCATTTCTTTATAGCTCGAAGTTAAAAGCATTTCTATTAAACTTTCAGAATAAAAAAACAGGAAAATTAAAAAAAACACGACTTACGCAGAAAGCCACGAACTTCCACGCTTGACTTATGTCAGATAACAAAATAGTTGTCAAATTTCTCGAAAAGATCGAACACAGATGTTGACAGATGCTTTCAATGTCACAACGAAGTGCAATGGAGCAGAGTGGAGTAGAGCACAGCTCGTCCACTCTCCTTCCTACAGCTAAGACTTCCATCAAAAGTATCCTTTCACAGACATTGAAAATTTACAAACATCTCAAACTGAATTTTAAGTAAAGTAGTCAGAAAAATATAATTCAATATTAAAACTCTATTATATTTAGAATTTTCTTTTTCATTCGCGAAAGCTATGTTATTATCTCGAAAACTTCAAAAAATTTCATCTTCAGATATATTCTTTTAAACGCGAAAAATTTTCAAAATTCAAAAAAGACGTTTTTTGGCGTTTTGAAGGCATAGATGATGTCTAATTGTAAAAGTTTAAATACAGAAAAATTTGGTCTCCTTTTACACACATTTTAGTACCCTTTGAGATTTTGGAAAATGAGTCCTTCAGGCGATATTAAAAAAAGTGTGTTTTTTGTGAAACTAATAACTTACACGCTTTTGCGTGGAAGTTAACATATCTAGGTATTATAAATGATAAAAAATGCTAATATAGATATAAAATCGATATTTTTTTTTTGAAAATAGCCTACTATGATCGAAACCAAAAATGCTTTAAATTGCATTTTAAAACATATCTAGGTATTATTAATGATAAAAAATGCTAATATAGATATAAAATCGATATTTTTTTTGAAAAAAGCCTACTATGATCGAAACCAAAAATGCTTTAAATTGCATTTTAAAACAAACCTAGATATTATAAATGATAAAGAATGCTAATATAGATTAAAATCGATGTTTTTTTTTTAAATAGCCTACTATGATCGAAACCAAAAATGCTTTAAATTGCATTTTAAAACATATCTAGGTATTATCAATGATAAAGAATGCTAATATAGAAATAAAATCGATATTTTTTTTGAAAAAAGCCTACTATGATCGAAACCAAAAATGCTTTAAATTGCATTTTAAAACAAACCTAGATATTATAAATGATAAAGAATGCTAATATAGATTAAAATCGATGTTTTTTTTTTAAATAGCCTACTATGATCGAAACCAAAAATGCTTTAAATTGCATTTTAAAACATATCTAGGTATTATCAATGATAAAGAATGCTAATATAGAAATAAAATCGATATTTTTTTTTGAAAATAGCCTACTATGATCGAAACCAAAAATGCTTTAAATTACATTTTAAAACATATCTAGGTATTTTTAATGATAAAGAATGCTAATACAGATATAAAATCGATATTTTTTTTTTGAAAATAGCCTACTATGATCGAAACCAAAAATGCTTTAAATTGCATTTTAAAACAAATCTAGGTATTATAAATGATAAAGAATGCTAATATAGATATAAAATCGATATTTTTTTTTGAAAATAGCCTACTATGATCGAAACCAAAAATGCTTTAAATTGCATTTTAAAACATATCTAGGTATTATAAATGATAAAGAATGCTAATGTTAATATAAAACCGATTTTTTTTTTGAAAATAGCCTACTATGATCGAAACCAAAAATGCTTTAAATTGCATTTTAAAACATATCTAGATATTATAAATGATAAAGAATGCTAATACAGATATAAAATCGATATTTTTTTTGAAAATAGCCTACTATGATCGAAACCAAAAATGCTTTAAATTGCATTTTAAAACATATCTAGGTATTATAAATGATAAAGAATGCTAATATAAATATAAAATCGATATTTTTTTTTGAAAATAGCCTACTATGATCGAAACCAAAAATGCTTTAAATTGCATTTTAAAACATATCTAAGTATTATAAATGATAAAGAATGCTAATGTTAATATAAAATCGATATTTTTTTTTGAAAATAGCCTACTATGATGGAAACCAAAAATACTTTAAATTGCATTTTAAAACATATCTAGATATCATAAATGATAAAGAATGCTAATATAGATTAAAATCGATGTTTTTTTTTGAAAATAGCCTACTATGATCGAAACCAAAAATGCTTTTATTTGCATTTTAAAACATATCTAGAAATTATAAATGATAAAGAATGCTAATAAAGATATAAAATCGATATTTTTTTTTTGAAAATAGCCTACTATGATCGAAACCAAAAATGCTTTAAATTGCATTTTAAAACATATCTAGGTATTATAAATGATAAAGAATGCTAATATAAATATAAAATCGATATTTTTTTTTGAAAATAGCCTACTATGATCGAAACCAAAAATGCTTTAAATTGCATTTTAAAACATATCTAAGTATTATAAATGATAAAGAATGCTAATGTTAATATAAAATCGATATTTTTTTTGAAAATAGCCTACTATGATGGAAACCAAAAATACTTTAAATTGCATTTTAAAACATATCTAGGTATTATAAATGATAAAGAATGCTAATAAAGATATAAAATCGATATTTTTTTTTTGAAAATAGCCTACTATGATCGAAACCAAAAATGCTTTAAATTGCATTTTAAAACATATCTAGGTATTATAAATGATAAAGAATGCTAATATAGATATAAAATCGATATTTTTTTTTTAAAAATAGCCTACTTTGATCGAAACCAAAAATGCTTTAAATTGCAATATAAAACATATCTGGGTATTATAAATGATAAAGAATGCTAATGTTAATATAAAATCGATATTTTTTTTTGAAAATAGCCTACTATGATCGAAACCAAAAATGCTTTTATTTGCATTTTAAAACATATCTAGATATTATAAATGATAAAGAATGCTAATACAGATATAAAATCGATATTTTTTTTTTGAAAATAGCCTACTATGATCGAAACCAAAAATGCTTTAAATTGCATTTTAAAACATATCTAGGTATTATAAATGATAAAGAATGCTAATATAGATATAAAATCGATATTTTTTTTTGAAAATAGCCTACTATGATCGAAACCAAAAATGCTTTAAATTGCATTTTAAAACATATCTAGGTATTATAAATGATAAAGAATGCTAATATAGATATAAAATCGATATTTTTTTTTTGAAAATAGCCTACTATGATCGAAACCAAAAATGCTTTAAATTGCATTTTAAAACATATCTAGGTATTATAAATGATAAAGAATGCTAATATAGATATAAAATCGATATTTTTTTTGAAAATAGCCTACTATGATCGAAACCAAAAATGCTTTAAATTGCATTTTAAAACATATCTAGGTATTATAAATGATAAAGAATGCTAATATAGATATAAAATCGATATTTTTTTTTAAAAATAGCCTACTTTGATCGAAACCAAAAATGCTTTAAATTGCAATATAAAACATATCTAGGTATTATAAATGATATAGAATGCTAATATAGATATAAAATCGATATTTTTTTTTGAAAATAGCCTACTATGATCGAAACCAAAAATGCTTTAAATTGCATTTTAAAACATATCTAGGTATTATAAATGATAAAGAATGCTAATGTTAATATAAAATCGATTTTTTTTTTGAAAATAGCCTACTATGATCGAAACCAAAAATGCTTTTATTTGCATTTTAAAACATATCTAGGTATTATAAATGATAAAGAATGCTAATATAGATATAAAATCGATATTTTTTTTTGAAAATAGCCTACTATGATCGAAACCAAAAATGCTTTAAATTGCATTTTAAAACATATCTAGGTATTATAAATGATAAAGAATGCTAATATAGATATAAAATCGATATTTTTTTTTTGAAAATAGCCTACTATGATCGAAACCAAAAATGCTTTAAATTGCATTTTAAAACATATCTAGGTATTATAAATGATAAAGAATGCTAATATAGATATAAAATCGATATTTTTTTTTTGAAAATAGCCTACTATGATCGAAACCAAAAATGCTTTAAATTGCATTTTAAAACATATCTA